GGGGGGGGGGGGGGCATTAGCAAGCACTTTTTAGTACTTACATTTTCAATGACACGACCAGCCAGAGGTTTCAAATAACAACACACACATGACCAAATTGCCACTACAGTATGGCACTATTTTAGCTGAGAGTGTGGTACAAACGAGGGGCGCCCCGCAGTCTGTGAATAACGCAACGCGGCGTGCAGGAGGAGTTGTTGGGCAGGCTAACGATAGCCAGCTAGCTTAGCTACCTGGTTGCTGTAAGAAGCCATGCTCCCGGTGAGACTCTCTCTCCTCCGCTGACAAGATGAAAACTCCCCCGGGAAGGTGTTGTAGGTTTGTAATGGCCGTTACAAATGGTGTCCTACTTCGACGTCATTGTCATTTTTCCAACGCTGTCCTGGCAATGGTAGGTTTTGATCCATGTAATGCATCAGCACTTCACGCTGCTCGCCTTGCCGTCACCGCCATTTCTGTCGAGCCTCTTCCTCGCTTGCTAGCCAAGCCAGCGCGCGGTCGGTTGTAGTGGCAGCGTGAGCTCAAGGAATGACGAGGAACACTTCCGGTGATCGTTTGCTCTACGACTTCACAATAAAAGTCGTCATCTTTAACCACAGATAATCCCCCCTAACCCCCCTTTGTGATTTACTGAGGCCAGTGACCTCTGCGGTGCATTTACTTAGTTAGATAGATAGATAGATAGACTATTAACCACAGACTAAATGTACCATGATGTTCGACATTTAGATAGATAGATAGATAGATAGATAGATAGATAGATAGACTTTATTGATCCCAAGCTGGTAAATTGCAGTCATTGTCAATTGAATCAGAATCAGAAATACTTTAATAATCCCAGAGGGAAATTATTTTTGTTACAAACTCCAGATATACAAACAACATATATTATACAATCAACATCTATTAAGAACAAAATATACATATTTATATATATAAATCAAATTTATAGTATATATATTTATATAGTTTAATAATGTGCAAAAACTGGTTTGTGTCAGATTTGGAGTGACACATATCAAAACTTCCCTCTGGTTATCATCAAAGGTTTTGTTGTGTAGGAGTTTTAGTAAGCACATACATTTAGGAATATGCCAAATATAAACACACATTAAAAGAAGTGTTGTAAAGTAGAGTTTGTCACAGGGTCTCTTCCTTAAGACATGGTCTCAAGATCAGTAAAACGCAGCACCTGAGTGTTTCAACTGACTTAATATGTCGGTTGAAATTGTTTTTAACTGGTCTTTAAATTATTAAATTCAAATTAAATTAAATTAGCACAAGCCAATTGACAGTAAATCCTTAGGCAGTGGGTCAGTTGCTTGCTTTGGCTGGAAATTCAGCCTTGCTGCCAACTCCTGTCTATTCAAGGGACAGGAATATGCCATAGTTAATGTTAATCCTTTAAGTGGTGCTTAATTATGATCACTAATAGTTTACATTCATTGGTGTGTTCTTAAAGTAAGGCAAACTTCAAAGTAAGAGAGGGACCTTCCTTCTCAGATGGATTACAGCCTATTGCAGCTAGTAGTAGAGACTGAGCTCTTAACTTGAAATAATCTTCATACAGTTATGACCTGTATCAGAGAATTGCATGAATATACACAAGAGAGTGAATAAGTATCGGTCCCATCATGTAATTACAGTGTGTGGGAATAAGCATGACCTCACCGACATGCACTGGTCACGCTTTGAAATTACATTTATTTTGAAATTGATCTATGCCTCGGAAATGCTGGAAATAAAGTCGTGGATGTTTGCCACGAGCTTCACGATTGAAGCGTGACCGCGTGTGCTGAGTGCGTTCACGTCCGGGTTGGGGCATGAATCGCAAATTTTTGTTTCTGCAAGTTAAGCACGACTGAAACCAACATTTATTTATGCACTTTACGGTTTTCATTCGACTCCAGTGAAGCTGCGTGTGCCCTGTAATATTTGTATCAAACAGACCAGTGAATTAAATGTGGTTGTCTGTTATATTCTGTTATAAACAATAGGGTATATAATAAAGTACTTACAATGAAATACAATACAGTACTACATATACACAATGTAAACACCCAACCCACTGTAAGCTACTATAAAATGAGGGGAAAAGCCACAAAAAAGCCCCTCTAGCAGCAGAAATGTCGCCGTACTTTACACAGAAATGAGCTTGAAACTAGTGGGCGTGGCACAGCACAGGTGAGTGGCAGGACAAGGAAATCTCGAACACAGGAAGCTGGGAAAGGTAGGCTGTTGTTGTTTTTCTCGGCATAAACGAAAACAAGATAACATTGTGTTTACAGGTATGAAATAATAATGTTACATGTCTGTATTATTCATAATTAAGCCTAGAAACATTCGCCTTTAGGTAAAAACATTAAAAAGACGAAACTTCGCATTTACAGGGACGGAAGGAGCGTTGCTATGAATTGTGGGCCTCTTACAGGAATATGCGTTTGGTTCCTATGTTGAAATAAAACAATATATAATAGTTTGCAGACTTTATGTTGTCTTGATGTGTGTTTACTTAAAAGTCTGCCAGCCCAAAAATAATGACCACCTTTTGCCCTACGAGCCACTTTATGAATGAAGAAACCTCCTTATTTGGTCCTTTACTTCACCCAGCCATTAAACTTTATTAAATAACCCTAAATGCTGCTTCACTGTCCACAGGGGCAGCTACAGAGATACCAGCCAAGCATCCACTTTGTTTATGGGCGTCCATAATCTTCTTCTGCAGGTCGAGGAAAATGCCAGAAAGGGGGAGACACCATGAGAGGAGTGACAAGAGCAGGGACAGGGACTATTCACACAATGGCGACCACGCTTCATATGACAGCAGAGGTCGCAACCAAAAGCCAAGAGACGTGGACGAGAGAGGCTCTGCTGGTGACAGGATGGCCAAACAAAACAGACAGAGGGAGATGACAACTGCCTCTCACACAGAGACACCTGCTTACAGAGACCAAGACCATGAAAGACCCTCAAGACTGTAAGGGACCTTTTATACACAAGACCCTGCACTCACTGTCATGTCTTCCACACACGTTTGACCATCTGTGGCAGGGTTATTTATTAAGGTTTTTATGTGAAATTATATGTTTTGTGGAGTAAGAATGATTTCCATCTCACTGTAAAAATGTTGTTGTTGTTGTTGTTGTTGTAGGTCCAGAGAGACTTCAGTGTATCACTCTGAAGGGGAGTATTATGAGCGACAACACAGAAAAGCACTCTACAATCTCAGATACATCCTAACCAGTAGAGGTATGTTTATTTATTTAATTGGTCATTTGTAAGTATGCAGCATAAACAAATGCCACACACCACAGCATTTATAGCCCAAGCTAATTTCCCTTGCCTGTCCCTATGTGGGGAGTTAAAATATATTAAACTCAACAGATACACAAGACATGTACATTAAACAGGCAGAACTCAGCAAGAAAAACACAACAGAAAAATACAGGACACAAAGTAATACATCAAATCAGGATGCACCAGATCATTCATGACTGACACAGTTTAAATTTGAGTTTAAAATGATCCCAGTCAGGATCCAGTTTGAGTTCTGCAGGAAAGGAATTCCACATTTCGATCCCCCGAAGAAGTAAGGGCACCTCACTTTCCATTGGATGCTACATGTGTTACTGAGCCCCAAACTCTAAAGGGAAACACAGGGTCTCTGAGCACCTGTGGAGCCTGGTTGTGTGGGCACTTATAGACGAGTTTCAGGTTAGGAAATTTAATACAATAATCAAAACGTTATGTGATAATACACCATGACATAATGATTTGTTTTAAGGGCTAAGGAATGTACTTTTTTCTTTTCTTTTACTGTTCATTTGCATTTGGAGCTGCAACTACTGATTAATCTTTCAAAACCAATTACTCTGCTGATCATTTTCTCAATTAATTGTTCAATCATTTTCTATATACAATGTCAGATAACAATGAAAAATGCCCACCAGACTTTCCCAGGGTTGGGGTACTTAAAATGTCTTGTTTTATCCCCTCTAAAACAAAATGTTCCATTTATTACGATATATGACGAAGAAAAGCAGCAGATCCACTCACCAGAGAAGCTTCGATCAATATTTGGCATGTGCTGTACATTCTTGTCAGTGATGTGTTTATTCTGTCTCTCCCAGGTCTCTGCCAGCTTATGGAGCTGTTTGTGAATCTTCTTATCGTCATCTGTGCCGGAGTGCCATACAGCAACAACGGGGGTTACCGCGACCTGGCCAGCCTCGGTGGAGTCTACTATTATCACTTTGGTGGAGCCAATGCCTTCACTGGAGCCGATGCAGACAGGGTGAAGGAGCTGGACCAGCTGTTCCATAAACTTAAGCAACCTCCGTATGTCTTCACCATGGCCTGCGGTGGGGTTTTAATGATCTATGCCTGTGCCATGCTTGCCCTGGGGATTTTCAGAGTCCCTTACCGCTGGCCCCCTGTGCTACTGGGGGAAGCTCTGCTGAACCTCCTGATCGGCCTAGGCTACATCCCTGCTCTGGCCTTCTACTTTATTAAGCTGCAGGGAACCTACAACGATCCCATCTGTAAGGAGAGGGAGCAGATGTACAAGAGCAAAGGGCACAAGGGCTTTGAGTGCCAGTTCAACGGTGCAGATATCGCAGGAGGTCTCTTTGGGGTGCTGGGGGTGTTTGTTTTCATCTTTGGTGCAGTGTTAGCTGTCAGAGCTTTCAGGTCAGTGCGGGAGCTAAAGACGCGAAGGACAAACGAGGACAATAATTTCTAAGCTAGCTTTTCTATTTCACATATTTGAACAAAGGTGGGATTGAGTAGAAATCCCTGTGACAAGAAAACATGGATGTTTTTCTTATATTAGGTGTAATTGTCTGTAAACCGTTGAATCGGCTTTTTTATGCACTTTTTATGCAGTTTTTTTAAATACCTTTGTATTTCTTACACTTTTCACTACCTGTTTACAGTGTCTGTTACATGTTTTAAATAAATATGTAGTTAATATAAACAAATCCAATGGTGGAGAATGAGCTCGTCTGTTATGTTTTACAGGAACAGACCCGAGTGTTTTCACTGATCTTTTTTAAGGTAAAATACTGTTCCAGACCGAAACTATTGTGCATACCTTAGATCTCAGTCTGTTGATAATTAATCCTGGCGGTCGGCTCTTGATACAGACGGTTGAACGTTGTCCTATGACTTGGAAGTTTTTATTTTATATTGTTTACTGATAAAAGCCAAAAACATCCTTAGTATTTCAAAGGAATAAACGATATGATGGCTCCTCCATTGAGCTACAGTATCTTTCCATTTTCTTTTAAGACTCTGCTTCAAAAGAAGAGTCTGAGTTTGTTTGACCCTAAAGGTCTTACAAGAAAAAACAGATACCAGGAGTTTGTCCCATTTAAACGTATTTTCCTCGTAATTTGTCAACCATTATACTAGAGTTCAGGATGTCATTCTGAACTTCACCAATAGATGGCAGATCAACTGTTTAGGAATTTACTCATGACTTCAACACATGGATCTTGATTGCACATATTTCCACGGTAGCTATTGTTGTCCATTTCTTCTGATTCATATTCTTAATCTCACTACTGCTTCTGTGAACTTAGGCTGATTGAAGAGGAGAACATGTCTATGAAAATCAAGGTAAATCTATAAATAACCTCCTGGTACATTATAGCTTATTATTACAGCTTTAAAATGAAGGACAAAATAAACTGTAGACATTATATCTCATACTGACCCAAAAAGTCATTTTGATGATATTTATTGGCATGAAATCATCATAAAAGTGGTGAGCAAAACGGACACTGGACAAAAAAATTCACAGTAAAAAGTTTTATTGCTACTTGGCTTAAAGTTAATTTAAAAACAGCTTTTCTGCTCAAAACTAATAATAGCAGCATTTCAAATAAAGTAACGACCATCTTCCACTCTCAAAGTTCAAGGGAGTACAATTTTGTCTGTTACACACAAAAGTGCTCAGTCCTGTTCCTAAATAATACATCTTTCAATTATTAAACAAACGAAATTTTAGCAGTAATCTGCATGCTAGAATAAAAACCTAAAAATATTAGATATGCTCCGTTTTGTACAAATAAATCACATTTTGTATGTACTCTATGCTTTTATGTCGATTTATATTTAGGGCATGCTTTCAACATTAAATACAGTTATAATTAGTACCTTCAAATAAAGTACAATAATGAGTGACAGTTTTCTGTAGAATCCCAATCACTTTAAATTCTATTAGTGGAGAGGGAAATATAAATTTGCATGAAACAAAATGAAGTACAAAAATAAACATCGGCTTCTTGGCATCGAGAAAAAAATATTCAAGCATTTCTAGAAAATAATGTACAGAAAGGAACCGTGAGATTAAACAATGGCTACTTTGGTCACATGTTAAACAACTGGAGCATCTTCCATATCAGTTTCATTCACCATATTCACACACAGTCAATCTGTTATTCACACGGGCATGCATACACTTACTGTACGTGTGCACTTAAGCTTCATTTGACATACACACACAGACATTTCACAAGAGAGTTGTACAGGGAGCTTGTTAAGCTGTGCAGAGAGGATATGATCCCTTACAGTTAATAAATGAGTCAGCAGTTTAAAAAAACACTGACAATGTAGCCCACTCCAATGTCTCTATTTTGGTGTACAAAGGGGATTATAAGCATTATACTACTGGACCCCCTCCACTAAAGAATTAAAGGGAATATTTTAAGCCAATGCACTGTACCCTGTGCTCCCTCTTCCTGTATCTGTGCATACAGTCGGCATATGTACATGCACACTGATTAGTCTACTGATGGATCATTATTCAAATATACCTCATGTTGGAAATGTATATTGGACAGGAGACAGTGGGTGAATATACTGTATGGCGCCATCCAAGAGACAGACTGGATGAATGTACAATGAGTGTACAACCATATGCAAAGACTATCCAAGGTGGTTTCTAAGAGCACTAAATGTAGCAGTGCAATGCAGTCCCAGCCTGAACTGGGACCAAACTAATAAAACTGCACTGCAAATGAGCCAAAGGGAAGGGACACACTCAGAAACTAATAAAAAGAGCAATGCAACTTACACACACAATCTCAGTTACATACATTATACATACATACTTCAGTCAATATTCATTTTCAGACATATTGAGAAATAGGATTCTTGTAGTTTTAGGTGAAAATGAAGCTCTGATAAACATGTATATATATATATACAGTTTACACTTTGCATATTTGTATGAGCGAATTCCCAACATCTGTTGTGAACACCACCGTTTTGTATGAAACCTTAAGGAAAGTTCAATTTCTACTCTCTTGTTTCAGGTGTGTTCCAGTATTATTTAACAACAACAATCATAATCTGTCTTATAGCTCCTCTAGCTCCTCCTGTGGCGGGTACACCTGCAGTGCCCATCCCGGTTTCACTGCCATCAGTCCAGACGCCTGACACCATGTGTGGGTTCTGATAGTGGAGGTCTGGCCACAGTCAGAACCACAGAGAGTCCTGGGTGTTTGGCATCTCAAACACTGCATCAATCGTCTGATCGTCTGATCAATAAAGTGACTGGACACAGACTCTTTGCCTCGCCATAAAATATGGTTTCCTATTCTTAATTTAAAAAAAAAAGAAAAATCCAAAACTTGAAATCGGTGTCTGAATTCTGAATAAGCATAATCATGTGGATCATAGTAATTATTCTCTTATATAATTGTTTTCATTACATGTCATTATTATGGAGAAATTTCAAAAAACATTTTCAGGTTTGCCATATGTTAAGTCACTTAGCACAATGTTTCAACCAAATATCAATACCAGATATAAATAATGCAAAATATGCATAAAAACTGTATTTTCTCAATTTCTGCCAGAATGGGACCCAATCATTTATATTTATATAAAGTATGAGATAATGTAAGAGTAATTAAGAACATATATTATGCTGTTTGTGGTTCTGATGTTGGTCAGTCAAGACATTCTGTAAAATCCAGTAATGTAATTCAAAACGAACCAAAAATCTTTAATGAAATAAGAAATGTTCGTCATATTAAAAAACGCCAAAAAGTGACTGTTGTGAATTATCATTATGTCACTTTACAATATTATAATTTCTGTTGGCTATGTATTCTTAGACAAGAGGTGATATGTTGGGCTGAGGGAAGCCACAATAATCCCAGCACACTATGTTGATCAATATCTCATATATTAAACTCAAATATACATAACTCTGAATATCACTATTTCCTATGTACAAAGTGCTTTTAACAGTGTTTATTTCTTTCAAGAGACAAACATTTGCAAATAACAAGAAAAGGTTCAGACTCACACATCAATTAAGGCTTCATCACTGACATATCACTCATTCCTGTGGAGCAAAGAAAGGATGTATGGGGCTGCTTTAATAAACCCCAGAGCTGAAGACCTCAGTCACAAACAGAACATAAGTGGGATGAAACAAAGGGCTTCTCTTTTCAAAAATACTGAGCAGTGTTATTTTTAAGGCTAATAGGGAACACTGAAAGGTCCAGCTATGCAACAGCTGTGGAATGCCAGAACTGCACCACTTCCAACTTGGGAGTGGCAACCGAAAATATACATCTAATGTAGTAATCACTGACATGAGCAATTACCCAACTTTGGCCCTCTTATAACCACAGCAACCCCAGCAGAGCGGCTTTCTCTTTTGGCACTAGGTTCAGGAATGGATAAACTGAGGTTTCCAGGGCTGCATAATATTTACCTGATAATTCAAATAATAATGTAGTTTTTGACAACTCACTTTCAGCTGAGATAAATATGATTGATCCTACAAATATATATATATAAAAAAAATAATTGAGAACTGATAATACCAACTGCTGAAGCACTGTATGTCTGTATAACTCTGAACCAGTGGGTTCTTATGCAGTACCTTATACTGCTGCTGCACTGACAATATATTTAATATTAACTGTGTGAGCTGAATTCTACAGAAGCATTGCACACTGATCAGGAGATAGTATATGCAATGTGCCCTAGTGTAAAAGAGAACTATATTAAATTATAGCAAGACATAATTTGTTTCTATGTCCCGGATTTCTGCGTATAGATGTATTTCTTCCATAAACTCTGTGACATCTTCTGTACGCAGACCAGATCTTACAGAATACAAGAAAATAAGGGGGTTTCGGTTTTGTTTATAATGGGCCAAAATAACACACTCCGAAAATCTTCTGGATGTGTGGGCAGTGCATTAGAGAGCTTAGATGAAAAAATATTTGCTAAGATGTAAAAATATCAGTAAGTGAATCTGCCTGCAGGGACATGGATGGGTGTTTACTAATTTAAAACGGTAGCAGCCTCCAAAGTTTGGACAAAATATACAATCTTAGTACCAGTGCCAGTACATACAAACACTGCATCTATCCTTCATCTCTTGTAATAATACACTTTTGTGCCTTGATTGGTTTGTTTAAATGACAATGTGATAAAATGACATTAAATGATCCAAACATTCTGGGTTTTCCAGTCCATCATCCAGTGACCATAAAACTGACTACATTTAAATTAAACTTTTATTTTCCTAAGTCGTTTTTGAGGAGATCATTTGATCATACACTGTTGCAGATTATACTGTGGTCAGTTCTACAACACATCCGCTTGGTACAGTTGAATGACAGCTATTCAAAATGCATTGCTCTAAATAACAACGCTTTTCAATCTTGAGCTGAAGCACAGCACGACGGTTGACTGTTAGTTGTGAGTGTGTCCTATACTGTATAGAATTATTTTATCCTATATAGATGATTCTATACATACTGGGTGAGAATGTTAAAAATAAAACCCAAACATGTGTCTGGAGATGTAAATGCAGTTATACTGTCTCCACATCTTCTAGTCTTATGTGCCTTACAAACATTTATACTGTCTGATTTCCTTTGTTAGCCACAGGATGAGTAGGAGAGCAGAAGCTGTGCCAGTGCTGGTCTCTTGGAGA